GATGGCTGGCCGTGCGCTGTTGGTGTGCGCCCTCTGCGTGCTGTGCAGCGCCGCCGGGGGCTGGGCGTGGGATATGGACTACTGCACTGAGGAGAACTGGGAATTTTTGAAGTTGCTTAATTCCAGCAAAAATTCCACGGAAATTCTGGATGTGTACTGCAAGCATAACACAACTTTTGTGGCGGCAATTAAAAATAAACTTACCGCAACAGGGGGCAGCGCTGGCACCGGCATTCCCGAGGGCATTGGGGAAGAAAAGGCGCCGACAAGGCCCGAGGAAGGCCTGCAAACAAATGAAGAGTCGTCATCTCCGACCATAAAACCAGGAGGAGATGTAAACCCCGCAGGCGGCAGCAGCGAACAACCCGAAGATAAGGCGCAAGGGGAAAAGGGGGCGACAGGCCCGGCCGCGCCTTCAGTGGGCCCCGGAGAGGCAGGAAGCCCCGCACAGGTGCCAACACCACCACCGCCTGGCACACCGCAACGGAGCCCGACGCCAGTGGCAGTTGGAGAAAAGGGACAAAATCCGGCAACGGGCGATACTCCGTCAGCCGGGGGAGGAGGAGAGAACAAAAAAGCACAGCCAGCGACGCAAGAGGGCAGACAAGGAGGAGGCGCAGGCACCCCAGACGGCAACACGGATGCAAAGTCTGAAGTTCAAGCGGAGGCAGCTCAACGGCCTCCCACCGCCGCGGGAGTTCCCGACGCCGCTCCATCGCCCGATGCCACGCAGCAACGAGAAGAAGCCCCTCAGCGTGAGGGTGAGCCTGGCGGCGGGGAGGCGGCAAGAGCAGCGGGCGCGATCGCCGAAAGTAATGCGGCGACCACTCGCAACGGCGGCGGCGCGGCTGGGGCGCCCGGCGGTGTCACGCGTGGCGCGGACAGGGATAACACCGCAAACCCCTCCACTGAGGAAGAGGGCAAGAAGGATGCGAACGCCGGCCTTCAAGGCGCATCCGACGGCACGACGGCTGTGGCGGCTGGCGGAGCAGGGGCCACAGTGGCGCCCGCAACGAATGCAACGAAAGCGGAGCATGACGAAAGCGACGGCAGCGGCACCGCGGCCTCACACTCCGCCTCCCCCCTTGCGCTGCTTCTTCTGCTTGCGTGTGCGGCTGCCGCTGCGGTGCTGGCCGCGTGAGAGGGAGAGTGAGGGATACTGCCGAGCGCACTCACAATTCTTTCTGTTTCCTCCACGCTCCGTGTGTGCGTTTCCCTGCACGGACTCTCTCGCCCTCACCGCACCCCACGAGGCAGACACACATAATGTGCTCATAACTATACACAACTCCACTCATGCAGGCCCGTTGGTTTTCTCTTCCTCCTTTGCTCCCGACGAGCCGCTGCCGCCCTGCTTGGCCGCATGGGTACAGCGCCGTAACTGTTTTTATCATTCTTTATTGTTTGTTTCCATTGCTTTCAGTGGGCGACCTCTCTTTATTTCTCTCTCTCTCTTCCTGGATTGGGCTGTGCGGGAACAGATCGATGGAGTGTGTGCTGGTCGTCCCACGTGTTGCTGCGCGTCCCCACTGCTCGGTGGACGCGCCCCCACGCTTCGGCTTCACTTCACGGGTTTGTTTTAAATTTTCTCTGGTCGTTTGTTCGTTGGTTGACTGCGCCCGTTTTACTGCCCGTGTGTGTGCGATGCACTCTGCAAAGGAAGAGGGCAACTTTATTTTGGCTTCAGTCGACTGTGTTTTTTTTGTTTACGAATTCCGCTGCGGTGGCGTGCGGTGCGGATAAAACGAGAGGCGCAGCACGCGAGAGGGGGCGGGGGCGGGTGCGATGCCTCCCCCTTTGGCGGGGGTGGTCTTGTCGGCACCTTCAATCTGTTGGAATGCCGCACTGCCGCCCCGGGCCCCACTAGTCTTCTTCTGCCCTCCCTTCCCCTCCCCCCACGGCGCTTCGGCAGGCACACACACAACCACACGGCACGGCACAAATTGCACGGCACGTGGGTGGTCCCTTCGCAGTCGGTGCTGGCGGTGCCGTGCGCGGCTTTCTCTTGTGCATGTGGCTGCGTGAACTCGGTGGGCCTCCCTCTTTTTGCTGTTTTTCTCTGCTTTATCTTTCTCTCGTTCACTCTTTTTCTCTTGCTTCTGTCTTCCCCGCCGCCTTGGAGCTCACTGACCCCGGCGACTCTACTGCCAATATTTCTACTGATGGCGATGACGCTGGCGGTGCGGCGCCGTGCGGTGTGCGCCCTGGCGCTTCTCGCGCTTCTCTGCGGCTGCTGCGCCCCCTCCGTCTGCGTGGCAACGACGGCGGCTAAAGTGAACGTGTCGGTGGAGGTGTCGTGCCCGAACGATGCGAAGAAGTTGCGTTGGCGCGTTGCCGGCAAGAGTAATTCTGCAGCCTGGAAGGAGTGTCCGCAGGCAGTGGAGGGTGCGCAGAGCAGTGAAAGCGCTGCTTACGGTAATGTCCTTTGCCTCTTGGCCGGATCGGCGTACCTGGAGAAGTTCCCGGCGGGGAACTGCCGTGCATCTCAGCCAACGGAGGGCACAGACGCTGTCGCGTTCAGGTTGGCCTGTACGGCGGCCGCAAACAGTGCGCTGCACAATCTGACGAAGAGCGAAGGTGGCAGCATCACTGAAGCGGAGAATCCACTGGGCGCGTCAGACGAGTGTGAGTACCCAACCCCGAGCCAAAACCGCGGCTG